AAATCCTGGATCCTCCCCTGGAGGGAGTTTCGCTCTGTCGATTAAATCGTGTTTACAAATGTAGTCTACTTACTCTGTGAAAATAATGTTTTGTAAAATATCAAGATACCTATGAAATGCATGTGTGAGTGCACATGAGAACGGCATACCATGTCACATATACCGTGAGTTAGCGGACTGTGGAATGATGTCCAAAGTGTACATGACTGAGGGTAATTTGGTAAACAATAAATTGATAATTTTGATATCATATTGTTGATTTATTTCCATCATTTTTGTTATATGTTAACAGAGACAACTGTCATTGTGTAAATGTCATCCCTCTGCAAAAAGTTTTTTTTTTCAAGGACGATAACTCTTACCCGGATCAAAGTGATTGTAAAATGTAAAATAAATTGATTATAAAGCCATTGTGTATGTATTGTTCAATTTCCCACTCTATATGTATAGATCTTTGTGTCCTGTTTGCTTTTAGCCTGTAGATAATCACTTTTATCCGTACAAATTCAATAAAAATACACTTTGTGTAACATGTGTTACATATTTTGCGATAAATAAAATATTTGCAGGGTTAATTAGAAATGCTTCTTTTCATTTTTTTTATTGTTGTTATTGTTCCGAACATTTTGGTATTTTTTCCAAAAAAGTCCCCAAACTATCGGAATGTTTAGATTTTCATAAAATTAACTCTACATAGTTGCATAACCATTAAATGAAAGTTTCAACGAATTTTGCTGGTTAATTGCGAAAGTGTGGAGCTACCTTAATTTAATGAAATTTGAAATCTGAGAAAATATAGCTCAATACAGCTATAATTTATAGGTGTATATAGCGCAATCGGCAAAGCGTACTGAACCTGATAAAAAACCGAAAACTAGCGATAATCATCCTTTAAGATTTTTTTTATGTTTTATCGGACAATAGCTCTGGAAACTAGTTTTGTTCGTTTCATGTAACCGAAGTAAATCTTCGCCAGGCACAACTGGACCCTCGATATGCACGTGTCGAATTTAGCCTCGGTCCAGATATTTTCCAGTCGTTTTCTTTCATGTGAACTTGTTGAAGCGGTTGATCCGTTTAGTTCTGGTTATGGGAAAGTGGCCCCAAACTTTGCCTTGTTTTCGTAGTTTTGATGTCATGAAGAAAATTCTTCGTTTCCGAAATAGTTTCTTCTCTGGATGCGACCGCGTTTTAGATATGCATGTCACGTGATGAGGGTGTACCTCCATTGGAGGATATGGAGGAAGTTGAATAATCGTAAATTGAAAACAATCTGGAGTATTCATTGGTGACACTGTTTATTAATAATTACCAAAAATATGATAAAAGGCTGTATCTATTTAAATATTTTTTGAAGATTAGGAAAGCGGCAAATACCGCCGAGTACTTTTGTACTAGCTCATATTTCGTTGAAATCTCCATTTTACTGTATAAAGTATCCTATTAGCCATGTTTTTATCTTCATAGTTATCTTACCTTTAAATTGAACTGTCAGTTGGATTCAACTTAAGTTTGTAATTACACCGTATGGTTTAGAAACGTAAATAATGTTAAAAACATAAAATATTAAAAACAAATTACGTCCAAAAATATCTTGAATTGCAACACACTGTGAATAGAAGGATGTATATTTAGAATTCGATGATAAATGTCAAAAATTAAAAAAAAAAAATACAATTTGTACAATTATTGACCAAGACATGAAAAAATATCACAGTATATTTTTTTAATACATTGAATAATAAAACTCATATTCAAACCCACTGAACAACCTTTACTTTTAAATTCTAACCATTATCTTCCTGTTGGTATGCATGAATTGTAAAATGGGTCATATAGTACGACAAATAAATGTGTGACGTTTTGATGACCAGTACGGTATGTATATGTCACCTTTATCAGAAAATTTACCAGTGGCGCGAACAGGAAGGTGAATATAAAATCGCCGTCGATTCGGCTACGCTATAAACGTATATAGACAAAGGTGTAAAATATGTACGAGTTGGCTATATACATTTTCGATTCATGTAATGATGTTCTAGAACAATTTCCCCTTGATATATGATTTTTTTTTTTAAATGAAATTAATCCTCAGTTTCGCCTGCATCAACGGCAATGGGAAGTAAGCGGATCGAAATTTACGCAGCTATGCGATCTTTTTTGTTTAATTAAATACATGTGTATGTTTCGAAACCTAAGCTAGTTTTAAACGACACATATATTTATCTCATTCTACTTTTCCAATATCAGCAAAGTGATTTTGTAATGAACTGGTCTTTTTGTATAACACATGTTTAAATGCATGGATTTATTCGTTTATCGTGTTCTACACAGTCAGACAAGAGTTGTTCGTTTATGAAACCGAAGGACGAACCTAGTAACTCAAACATTTTTAGATCTGTGCAAAACTTTATTAAATCCAGCAAGAGATTTTGAGTTCAAATTGTCATAACAATTGTATATATTTATTGTCATTATTGAAATGTCATTTCAAATGTATATTGGGAGAAGGCGTTGATAAGTAGTTATAACTTGTGCCTAATCCCTTGTCTAATTTTGGCAATAAATATGTTTAAACTTAACCTAGTGATTGGATGTTCCATTCTGGTTTGTATTGGCAAAGACTTTCAGTGTATGTTTTAATATTTGTATGTCTGTATGTTTTAAATGAAACATTACATTTCAAAATTTTAAGACACATTTTTGTCTTACCTGAATTTTAATTTAAGAATGACCATATATAGTCATGCTCAGGTGTATGTCGACACCGTGTCATTTACCGTTGTTTTACACGATTAAGCCATTTTGAGTGAAATACAAGCGTTTCGTGCATTTGATACATAAAGTGATGGAACTATTCAATATCCTATTGTCTTCAATATAGTTTGATCATAGCATTAGATTATACAAGTCCGTAGTTTGATATGTGAGTTTTAATTCATCTGAAACATATGTTCGGCTTTATCTCAGATTGTAATTTGAGATGTTGCTCATAAATATCAATCTCTACCCAGGGAGAGCAAGGACCGTAACTCTGCGTGGAGATTCAATATAGGTAACGTCACACTACCACAATTTGTATACGCTCCAATTGGTACACGGTCAGAAAATGGTTCGAAAGTTCCTCTGATGGTCTAACAATAATAGAGATATTAATCAGCTATTCCACCAAATAGTTTTGTTTACAGCAACATTTTAAGAGTATGCAATGACTTCAAAGTAAACATGTCAGAAAACAAAATAAAAAACACGACGAGTTTTTTGAGGATTTTGAAAGGGTTAATTATAAGCATATTTAAGTGTTGATTTCTGGTCCTTGCAACGGATAAAATAAATATATAAATATATACAATTTTAGTTCAGTGAATTATATATTACAACAACATATTTTGTTGCAATCGACACATCAACTAGCAGAAATAAAAACAAGTTTCGTGGCCTGTACTATGGTGTACCAATTTGTGTACTAATCATGGCTGAAAAACGGACGAAATCTCACTGCGCGTTTAGCGTTATGTTTTTTAAAAACAAGTTCCTTAGAATCGAAACTTTTCCTGAGAAGGTACTACAGGGGATAGTCTTAGTCAAGAATCAAGACCTATTCCAGATACAAGATCTGGATTTTTAATTATCACTGAAAACCGTCAGAATTGTATCAATTGTTGTAGTGTGACGTTACATATAGATAATAAAACACCACGGAATTGTGCTGTACACATTTCGGGGCACGTGTACTGGCGTGTTATACTCCCATCCTCTCTCACTGTCTGGGCCTTATCTCTCGTATTGAACCGTCTGGCCATCTGACCGAATTTCTGTTATACCTGTGGTAAACAGGTATAAAAGGTAATGCCATTATCAATATCCTAAGAAAGTTTGTCAACAATATAAGTAAACAAAGGCGAGATTCTTTGAAAACTACCGTTATCCTGGACGATATTTATCCGTCTGGTCAGTCGGATTACCTGTACGTTCTATAATATTGACCCCAGACATCGCCTCGAGACTTGAGGGGGGTGATCACCTGTTTAAGCCGACTCCAGACGTTCGTCGTATGTTCCTATTTACCTGTCTGCAGGTGAATCCCGACCCCTGTCCCAGACATGCTACCTGCAATCTGGGCGTCGCGGATCTACCCGTGGGTAAATTCACCCGTTCACCCGAACAATGACCTCGCTAATCTACCCTATCACTGTCGGGATCATAATATAATAGGCGTTGATTAACTATGCATACCCGTATATATCTAATTTATACGACTGTACCTGGAATGTTTGACTTGTAAGGTCACGATAAATAGCCAGGTCACACGGGGGGATCTTCACAACTCACTCGGAACTTGTAAACAGCGGATGACAAGTTTTACTCCTGAACTTGCAGGATTGTTTACGTACTAAACCCGTAGTAACATATTCTACACGGAAGTTTATGTCGAGTTCATTCCTGTGTCAGGGACGCGTTACACAGTTTCACTTTCATTAGTGAGATATATTTTGTTGGACACGTAACATATGAACGCGATGGGTAGCGTTACCTCACCTGTTATATTGGAACGCCTGTCGTCCACATCGGTCCCCACCCCCGGGGAGCATCAGCTGACACCTGTCCCCGTGTCCAACGAGCATATGTCCGTCCCCCAATCCGTGGAACAATTTTCCACGTTGGGCAGCAGCTGGAATGGAGGTGAGTGATGAAAGCCAACCCTTCTTGTTATGTATTGTTATAGCTATTATTCCTTTCTATCCTATGAATTCTGCAAGAATTTCATATTAAATTTATATGTATCGCCCATTACCATCAGACATATAAAGCCGTAGTAGTATATACGTCTCTGTTACCATATATGTTTGGATTTTAGTTTCAACAGATGTTCACTTATACATTATACTTTAAATATTTGAATAAATGCATAAAGAATTGATAGTTTCTTTTATTACATATACTATAAATCAGTTTTAAAATGTGTAAGGTTTTAAATATGCTTAAGGTTGATGTATGTATGACATTTCTACATGAAATCATGTAGGACCTTTGTATGATTTTTTTGCTGTATTTTATCGCACGTCATAAGAGGCGACTAATGTGGTGCCCCCCTTACTGAATCAGGACTGTCTTCTGTTGATGTACAATACTTGGGATATTTCCGTTTCTCTCCTACGTTCATGTACTCTTTTTTTCTTTTCGGTGGCATCAACTTAGTCGACCTTTATATGATCAAATACAAAAAATAATGACTTATGTATGAACTTTCTGTATGACTTGTATGATTTTTGTATGACCTTTTTAATTTTAATGTGCAAATTCTGTATTGTCTTTCTGTATGACATTTCGTTTGGTCTAGTATATGACAGGTCTTGTTGCTCAATCGTAAAAAACTCACAGACGTTTCACTCAAAACACAACACTTTCTATAGCAGTAATTGAGTAATGAACCTGTTTCTATTTCTCCACCAGCCAGTCCCCCAAACTGTTGTAGATGCGGAAGTGGAATATACGACAGACTCGTGGTGCGCGTGCAGGACAAACTAATGCACAGCGCATGCGTTCGGTGTACGTCATGTGGCGTGGAAGTGTCAGAAGTTTGTTTTTCCGACGGAACTGACATATACTGTCAAACTGACTTCTACAGGTGAGCTTTCATGATCACATTTCACAGGTGTAAAAATCAACAACAGCACAATACCTTCAGTGGCGTGTCGTTTTTCAGTAGCTCCGATGGATTAGTGTCACAGCGCGCTACGTTGTTTTTATGAATAAGTTTGGATCACTTAACCGGTTTGTGAATTAGCTTCATAAATTTAGATAATATAGTTGACTGTAAAATGAACGGTTTATCTTTTATTTTTCCGCTTCCCTACTTTGGTTTTTCGTTGGTGTCTCCCTATAGACACCCGTCCTCATATGACCCTGGCTGTTGCGAGGACGTTATAGAAAAAAACAAATGTACGGTTATTTTTTGAGAAAGCCACACGAAATTGTGTATCACATGTATAACTCTTTTATGTAAAAGGTTGTATTTAGTTTGTGTATTTATTTACCTTTTACCATGTGTTAGTATTGTATCTTACCAATGTCTTACTTCCTCATCACCAGGCGGTTTGGCGGGACGTGTTCCGGATGTTCAGGCGTAATAGCTCCCGAGGAGTCCGTCCGAATAGCAGGCAACAATATTTACCACGAAAGATGTTTTGCATGCGCACTGTGCCACGTTGCATTGCAAACTGGCGATAAATTTTACATCCGGGAAGATGACAAGCTTCTATGTGAACGAGATCTCCAAAAACTGCAAGGTAAATGGGAAAAACTATGTGCTTTGATATAGTATTATGTTTCCCTCATATGAAATGACACCGCGAAATAAAACACGAAAAACGAGGAATGCACCTCTAGGTATTGTTGTGTGTGTGTCAGAAGGAGGTCAATTAGTGAGATAGGACAACTTGGGCGTGCATTGTATGTTTCAACCAGTTGAACTAAAAATTAAAACTTTCATTACAGTAAGTCACGATGACATATTTTATCCTAAGATATTTTAATTTCTCTGTCTATCGATATTCGTTTAACATCATTATCTAACATATTTTGTTTAATAGAGTTCGGAAGGTCCCGGGTTCGAACCTCGGTCTGGGCGTGCATTTTTCCATCTCCTGTTACAAAAGTATTCATTATGAGTCTTCTCTATTATTTTTGACAGCTTCTGATGAAGGAAACGTTACATCAAGCTATGACAGCAATACGGGTAAACGGCTCTCTTTAAACCTAGATCCTCATCAACGGAAGGTATTGGAGCAGGCATATCAGACCAACCAACGACCGTCACGTCATATCCGGCAGAAACTGAGCATGCTCACAGGCATTGACACCAGGTTGATACATTCATGGTTCCGTAACAAACGAAACAAAAACAGGAGCAGACGAATCAGAAATATAAGGAGGGGGAGCGGAGGCGGAAATCAGGATTCTGGACTAAGCGACAACGACACAGCAAATTCCGGTTCTCTCTCTGGTTCCGGAGATGATGCACGGAACACAATAAATGGTAGGCAACAGTCGAAACAGAACATCAGGTTCTTTAAACTAAATGTCAAATACAAATTACAAACGCAAATTCACAATTTTCCGTGGACCTTAACTCAATTTTTCTTTAGATCTGTGCAAGACTTTATTAAATCCAGCAAGAGATTTTGAGTTCAAATTGTAACAACAATTGTATATATTTATTGTCATTATTGTAATGTCATTTAAAATGTATATTGGGAGAAGGTGTTGATAAATTGTTATAACTTGTGCCTAATCCCTTGTCTAATTTTGGCAATAAATATGTTTAAACTTAAACTTTAAACGCAAAGTTAATTGAATGTGTTTATGAGTTTCTTCGTTCGTCCTTATAAAATCATTATACGATTCAAAGGTTAATTTAGGTGTGATTGTTAAATTTCTTTTCAAAACAATATAAAACGATTGAATGTAATTATTTTTATTTTCAGAAGAGCAGTACCCGATGAATTACACAAGCGACCTGTCCACCCTACAGACCAGCGCCATGGCCAGATCGCCATACAGTAGACTCAACACTTGGCTGAAACACGTTGATTCTTTGGCAGTTGACGCCGTCCCGCCAAACATAGAGCTTAAGGCGTCCGACTTCACAGCCGGCGGAGAAATACGGCTCACACCAACCAGTGATGCCCAGAACCAATATGGCGGCTTACAATGGTACCAGCGACAGGTCGAACACCACGAGAGCGACACCTGGATTCCCACAATATAAACTGTGGCTACTTAAACTACTGTCGATAAAATACTTAAAAAGTGTTAAGTTGTTTATACAAACGTTTATCAGCATTGTCTCTATTTAATAATGATGAAGATGTTCGAGTGATACAGACAGCCTGCATATTGTGTGATGATGCATCATTTGTTCCACATTTTTGTCACAAAATTTGTTTAAATTTAAGTTAGATTGTTGAAATTAAAATATTTATGGAAAACATTTTTTTATATGATTTTTAAAGCACAGCACATTGCATTATCAACTACAACAGAGTGGGGTACCAAGATTATGTCCTGTAAAATGAAATAGAGTATAAAATAGCCTCTAAACATAAGGATAAATAAAACAAAAGAAATTACATCATAAACCCGCATCAAACAGCTGAGGCTTAAACCAGGTTCTCTGGAACACAGGGACCCGATCCTTTGCTACAGTAGGTGATTTTACTCAAGAACGTAAACTATTAAATCCAATTTAAACTGTTTGAAATTTAAGGTTAAATACGATAAAAACCCAGTGGAGGTTTGATTCATCGTATGACCTTTTAATTTATGGCCGGTCTGGTTTGATGCTCAATGATAATTATATAGCATCTTCCGTATTTCGAAATTTTCCGACATATCTAATCAATCTTTGCGAGTACAAAGATTTATGGACAAACGTCCCTGATCAACGAACGTAAATTACCAATCTTATTAATAAACTATCATAATTAACTAAGATTATGTTGTGAAAAAAAGGTTATGTTGTATACATTTTGTAGTAAATGATGCCAACCATCCCCTGGGCACCACCAGCAAGCACATGGAACTGATATTCAAAACGAGGCCGCGTTACAAGCAATATTAGCAAAGCTATCGAAATACGAAAATAAGCCTGGGTTTGCGAAAACACAAATTATCTCAAATTAAATTAACAAGTAAACAACACGTTAATTTGACTTATCTGAAAGATCAACTGCAGTTAAACCGTTGATTTATCTCGAAGCGTTGACTTTATACGGATACCCCTACACCCCTCATATCTGTTCCTCGATAAACAATGTTTGGTGTAACGGTTTCGCGTTGACTTCATTAACCTCATTTCATCACAAAATACACCGCCTGACCATGATGTAATTCCTTATCACAAAAGCCGATATATGCTTCAGACTCAGAAATATCAAAGGTGATATAGGGGATATAATGACCCATTTAAAGGGTGCGATACACTGCCTTCCCGTGAAGAGTGACTGAGATATGCTGCGGAAACCATTATTCTAGTACTTGAGGCCAAGGTCAGAGTTCAAATAGAGGTCACAGTGACCTACTTTTAGGATGTGACACACATCTTTCCCATTGTGCTTGATACTCGGTACACATAACACTTACATTGAGAGGATGTGATTAAACATAAAAGTTTAAGTTATATCCGTATTTAAGGAAGTTATGTTCCTTAGTTAAAAACATTGTTTGACTACTCCTACCAAAGCACTCCACCGATTTGAATCATACTTTATTTGGTACATGCATTGAAAATGTGTCGGTAAAATTTATAAATTGGTGTTACCTCCCATTATCATGTAATTACGCCCCTTTGTTTTAAAAATGTTCGCATTTCTCTCCCCACAGTACATCATCGATTAAATTGATATTGGGTGTACAGAACCATTGCATCAAAAGAATGAGAATAAAGGACATAAAATCGAGTTATCTTACCTATATATTGAGTAATTGAAAGAACTATTCGTACAGTTCTCAAAGAAGACTTGGAAGTGCATTAGGCTGTCATTCTAGCAATAGGTGTAGTTCAGGCTAGGTCCTTTTTCTGACAAATCAACTGTTAAGCCAATCGAAATGTAAGGGATCCGTTCTCAACCCTGCACACTTAGTCCAAAAGCGATGCCATCTAATGGTTTACGTAATAACAATATATATAATGTTGGCACCAGGCGACAAACCCTTGACCCATAACGTACGACGTTAATTACCTAACACTGGTTGGCTTGCCTAGTGTTACAGGGATGTCGTGACTTAAGATCAGAGTACTATGTACCACCACCAGCTATCGGAGACAGTAAACTATCACTCCCTGTTATCCCCGCAGCCCAGATTACGTACGGCTCTGTCGGTTACTGGGAAAGGACAGATCCGAGGACAGGAAGGATTAGTTATATACTACAATATAGTAAACGTAGCCGTACTGTTTTGTGTTAAAGGTTAGCCCACAATGGGTTCCGAAGAGATGACAATGCCTCCATTCGGACTAGAGTTGAGAGAAAAGGAATTCTGCATGAGGAAAGGGTCCATGTTTCTTAATCATGGTTCGTTCGGAATGGTACCGAGGCGAATAAAAGACGTCCAGAAAAGGTAAATCTCATATTTAAATTTTCATCGTCATAATAATATCAGTGTTCATCAGATATACAAATACCGATGTTTTGAACGTTACACGTAATAGTTTCAAGTTTTTAACCACGGACTTCTAACTCCGTGATTTCAATAATAGCCTCTGCACCATCAATTAAGTGCATGTTGTAATCTGCTATTGTTATACATTCATGTTCCTAGCTACATCGATAAGATGGACGATCATCCAGATGACTGGTTCCGCCGGAACAACCTCGGCAAATGGAAGGCCGGAAGGGACGCTATCGCCATGTTTGTCAATGCTAACCCCGAGGATGTTGTACTCGTACAGAACGCAACGACAGGTGAGAAATCACTGTGAAATCTGTGTGGGATACTTAGTTACTAAAGGTCAGAGGTCACTGAAATATGTTACTTCTAATATACTACATGTCAGAGGTCACTGATACCAGCTACTAATTTACCTCAGGTCAGAGGTCACTGAAAATATGTGTGGCTATCGTTTACTACAGGTCAGACGTCAATGTGACTGTGGACACAACCAGACACATGTATTTGCCTTTGACATTGTGTATTTCGTTGTTGGGTATGATATTTATTTCAATTTATGACTTCATTTAAAGCAATGTAATAGTGAAAAGTGTCACCCATATAGTGTGTGTACATTATGTACATGTATTAGGATGTAGGAAAGTCTTATATATATAGTGTGTGTACAATATGTACATGTATTAGGATGTAGGAAAGTCTTATATATATAGTAATGAGGGAATGTGTGTGGGATAGGCTATTTCATTAGACTATTACTGTAAAAGTCATCAGCGACCATTCTTTAAAATTGTTCACGTATTTCTGTTCCAAGGGATAAATACAATTTTGAAGTCTCTGAACCTTAAAGAGGGTGACGGTATCCTAGCAACAGACAACACGTATCCAGCGATTCAGTTCACGTGCGAACACGTGAAAACATCAATTAACGGTATTTTATCTTTGTGGTTTTTTTTGAACGAAATCAATTTTTATCTTTTAAAAGTAATCGTTTTGAAGAGATAGAATTATCAATAAATGTCTCGATACTTTACCATTCCCAAATTTTATGATTTATCTTAATATATTTTAATTGTTGTGAAATTTTACCTATTTGAATGTAAACACAAGAATGCATTTTTGCCTTTGATCTGACATAACATTACAAGGAAGAATATGACATTATTTTCAGGAGCGAAGTACCACATGATGGGCGTTAAATACCCAATAGAGAACGAAGATGACGTAGTGGACCAGTATCGACAGTTCCTCTCCTCTAACCCTAACGTGCGCCTGGCGGTCATAGGCAAGGTCAAGTTCCTTAACTCCCGCGCAAAATAGTGGATGTGATAATATAACGAGCTTGTATGTCTGAATTCGTTTTCACCAAATAGCTCAAGTTCCCTTGTGTTAATGAAGTGAAAATAGTGCATTACATTTTCGCCGAAGATGCATGCTGGATGTTGCTTTTCAGATCAAAAGTTCCAAGGTCAAAGTCGTTGTTACTATAAATAGAAAAACTAAATGTCAACACTTTTACTTGAGTTGTATTGACTTAATCAAATGCAAACTTACTACAAGGCTTTCTTGTCAAAAGTGTTGTGCTTTTGGCTTATTTCAGGTTAAATATTCAAAATTCAAGGTCACTGTTGCTATATATAGAATAAGTCGTATATGTCATTTCCGTCACAGATCACATCACAAGTTCCACTGCCGTGGTCATGCCCATCAAGAAAATCATTCAGGTGTGTCGAGAGCATAATGTCATGTCTATGATAGACGGTGCGCATGCGCCAGGACAGGTGCCCATTGATATGAAGGACCTGGATCCAGACTTTTATACAGGTTGGTTTGGAAAAGAGTGTGTTATTCAGTGTGTAGGAACGGTTAGTAGCTTAGTTCTTGCTCACAGTGCTCCGAGAGCTACAGATAAAGTGCATGACGTTGTAGAATAACGTCAAATGTTTAATAGTTTAAAATTATACTTTTCTTTCTATTCTGTATATATGTCTGCTCGTTTTAGGTCCATATAACCATATTTCACTATTGGTCTTTTTTCATGTGAAAGCATGAGCGGTTACGGCATTTCTGATAACGGGCTATTTTAAAGAAATAATCAGCATTAATAATATTTTATATATTAATTTTTATTTTCTAAATAATATATTTCGAGTTTGAGAAAATGTTAGGACAAATAATACAAAGAGAGCATTTCCAACGTAACGAACAAACATATGTCGATTGTAGATTCCACCACGTCATGATGTGATGTGTGTTTATGTCTACCAAGGTATTGTTATCTAGATGTTAAATGATTTAAAAAATGCTGTTCTAGTATTTGTCACGTAATGACTCGTTTCCAATTCAACAACATGCCGCACGCAGCTGACATTATATTGATTGACCATTGTAGCCAGTGGTTCATTTGTGTCATTTTAGAGATATTTGTGGAAACGATTAGTACATGCACACGTGTACCCTCACACGACAAAGCAAACACGTTCAAGGCCAGTTTACAATACGAGGGAACCTTTAAACAATAGAACATGCTCGCGCGCGTCTATTTTTTAATCATACATGATTCATTAACAAAATGAAATGAAATGAAGTGGCGGTACATAGCCGACGTGGTAGAATGAGAAGTAGTGTACACGACATATTCTGTAAAAAAAAAAATACTGCTCAAACAATAAACTTCAAAATCACCTGCAATTGGTATTGTTAGTGTGGTACCTGGATATCGTTTAAATGTTGATATTGTAAATATACAGGTAATCTACACAAGTGGGCGTATACACCGAGAGGATGTGCTCTCCTCTACGTGAGGAAGGAACATCACGCCTGGGTCCGCCCCCTAGTCACCTCATGGTATTACTTGAAAGAGTTCACGATGGAATTCTTCATGCAGGGAACACGTGACGATTGTGCTTACGTAACTGTACCCGACGCTCTTCAATTTTACGATGACCTTGGAGGAATGGTATGTTTAATATAAAAAATCAACTTATTAATTCTTGTTTATGGACAGACGTTTTCTTTGGAATTTCAAGATTGGTCAAATTTGAATGAGATAGAGAACAGCTATTCTTTATAATATCATTTTGCTGTGTATTTGTTGAACATAAAATGTAACGTCATTTGACCTACAATTTACATGTATATATTTACACTTCCACTGCAAGTTCCTCTATTCCGTCTTTGCGTATTGCACAGTTATCTTCTCTTGAGAGCAGGTATTGATTGTTACGTCATTGGTTTGTGTGAGAAAATTCCGTCGTTTTCCCAAAAATTGATGACGTTACTCTCAAAAACAAATAACGTAACAATCAATACCTGCTCTCAAGAGAAGATAACTCTGCAACATGCAAAGACGGAATAATCATTACTATATAGGACAATGGGTTCATAGGCCTATGCACGCAATTTGATCAGCCGCCTTGAATAATATGAGACAACCGTCAGAGGCAAACATTTTGATGACGCTAGGCTGTTACAGGAATCTCATTTGCAATGACGACATAACACTTCAATATCGAAGAGACAAGGGAATAATGATTGGACGGCATTTTTTCAATGTTTATGCTGGTATGAACGTAATTCGATTACATTCATATTTACCATAAAGCCCGCTACCGGTATCTATGTCGGAATATGTATGTAACCGATTTGCGTTTATACCAGCGTGAAATTGAAAAAATGGCGTCCTATTCTTGTATATATCATATGTTCCGTTTATATCCAAATTTACTGTCATAATTTTCGTACGTACATGTATGTATCATGTAAATGATATATTTTCGTATGTGTTTAGAAATATTTGAAAATAAATCTATGCATCATAAGGCATTATGGGTTATTTTTGGCCTCATAAAAAGTAAAAAATTTAACTTGAATTAATTTACCATTTTCTGTTAGAAACATCATTTTGGTTAATTGGGGCTATCTTTCTTGGTGCAGATTGTTTTCCAATGCACATGCGTACACTCTGTTGATGCTCTACAATAGCAACGAAGTTGCGTTGCTATGCAGAAATAGCCAATATATGATGTTTTCGGACAGTGAGTATGCAGAAATGAAAGCCTCCGCATGTGACAAATAAAAATTTCTTTCAGCGAATGAACACTGGTATAAAAATGTTTAAGCATGTCAAACGTTATGTTTTTTTGTTGTATGCGGAGGCTTTCAAATATTGAAGAGTGATCAGTTAATTTCCTTCAAAATGGCATATTTTCCAACCAAATAGCGCATAACAGACGATATTCACACAAATGCAGGTTTAATTCTCTCTTTGTGATGCTATATCTCCTAGACCAGTTGTCGAATTAATTTCATTTTGCATACTTCAATTATTCCAGATTACGAATGTAACATTTAATTCATAATCCCCGGTGAAGCCGAAATGACCTTTAACGCCCCTAGTCCTTTCCCAATGTTTCATACACACAATGTACTTGTATGTACAAGTTTCGTATGTGTTTGGAAATATGTATATATTACAGTCTCGCCTACATTCTATATGTGTTTGACCATATATATCATGATTCTGTTATATATTTCCCCAGACTGCAATAACTGGGCACAATTCCTCTCTCCTGGACATCCTGACTGAGCGGATGGTGACGGAATGGGGTACGGATAAACTTCCCATCCCCCGGGACATGGAAGCCCCATGTTTGAGAATGGTCAGGCTGCCGAAAATGGACGGCTATGACATCACGACAGTACGTACATGTTTGGGAACTGTAGTTGTATGCACAGGTGAATAAAGCTTAATGCAATATCATCGGATCATAGCGCCTGCATCAGGATAAAGCGTGTACACGTCCACCGCAAAAAAAAACTCACTTTAATTTGTTGCATACACATGTAATTCAATTTACTGTAGGAACTTCAAAAACCTGTGTTATTTGAAAAGTACCCCAGTAAAGCATTTTGGTCAGACGACCTCATTTGTAATTTTGTGTTGTAGGCAGTGCAACCTGTTTTGTATCAGTGATAATGTGTTGTAAGCAAGGCGACCTGTTTTGTATTAGTGATACTGTGTTGTTGGTGGGGTGATCTGTTTTGTATCAGTGATAATGTGTTGTAGGCGAGGCGATCTGTTTTGTATCAGTGATAATGTGTTGTAGGCGGAGCGACCTGTTTTGTATTAGTGATAATGTGTTGTAGGTGGGGCGATCTGGTTTGTATTAGTGGTAATGTGCTGTAGGCGAGGCGCTCTGTTTTGTATTAGTGGTAATGTGTTGTAGGCGAGGCGCACTGTTTTGTATTAGTGATAATGTGTTGTAGGCGAGGCGCTCTGTTTTGTATTAGTGGTAATGTGTTGTAGGCGAGGCGATCTGGTTTGTATTAGTGATAATGTGTTGTTGGCAAGACGACCTGTTTTGTATCAGTAATAATGTGTTGTAGGCGGGGCGATCTGTTTGTATTAGTGATAATGTGTTGTAGGCGAGGCGTCCTGTTTTGTATTAGTGGTAATGTGTTGTAGGCAAGACGACCCGTTTTGTATCGGTGATAATGTGTTGTAGGCAAGATGACCCGTTTTGTATCGGTGATAATGTGTTGTAGGTGGGACGATCTGTTTTGACTTTTTATCAGTAATAAAATGATGTAGGCAAGATGATCTGTTTTGTATCAGTAATAATGTGTTGTAGGCGAGGCGACCTGCTTTGTATCGGTGATAATGTGTTGTAGGCGAGGCGATCTGTTTTGTATTAGTGATAATGTATTGTAGGCGAGGCGATCTGTTTTGTATCAGTGATAATGTGTTGTAGGCAAGACGACCCGTTTTTATCGGTGATAATGTGTTGTAGGTGTGACGATTTGTTCTGTATCAGTGATAATGTGTTGTAGGTGTGACGATTTGTTCTGTATTAGTGATAATGTGTTGTAGGTTGGACGATCTGTTTTGACTTTCTATCAGTAATAAAATGATGTAGGCAAGACGATCTGTTTTGTATCAGTAATAATGTGTTGTAGGCGAGGCGACCTGTTTTGTATCGGTGATAATGTGTTGTAGGTTGGACGATCTGTTTTGACTTTTTATCAGTAATAAAATGATGTAGGCAAGACGATCTGTTTTGTGTCAGTGATAATGTGTTGTAGGTGGCACGATCTGTTTTGTGTCAGTGATAATGTGTTGTAGGTGGGACGATCTGTTTTGTGTCAGTGATAATGTGTTGTAGGCGAGGCGACCTGTTTTGTATCGGTGATAATGTGTTGTAGGGGGGACGATCTGTTTTGTATCAGTGATAATGTGTTGTAGGCGAGGCGACCTGTTTTGTATCGGTGATAATGTGTTGTAGGTTGGACGATCTGTTTTGACTTTTTATCAGTAATAAAATGATGTAGGCAAGACGATCTGTTTTGTATCAGTAATAATGTGTTGTAGGCGAGGCGACCTGTTTTGTATCGGTGATAATGTGTTGTAGGAGGGACGATCTGTTTTGTATCAGTGATAATGTGTTGTAGGTGGGACGATCTGTTTTGTGTCAGTGATAATGTGTTGTAGGTGAGACGATCTGTTTTGTATCAGTGATAATGTGTTGTAGGTGGGACGATCTGTTTTATATCAGTAGTGTTGTGTTGTGGACGACTTACCGTAGTCAGAGACGTATACCATATTATACGTCTCTGCCGTAATGATGTTGGGTTGCTAACCTGATGGACAACTAATTGCGATTATGTTTTTTTCTGTTACAGGCCGAGGCGTACCGATTGATGGACGACCTTTTCTATGAACACGATATTCAAGTACAGCTGTTCTGTGTCCTTGACAGTCTGTTTGTCCGACTGTCCGCTAACGTGTACAACTACGCGGATGAATATAGCGTTTTCATCAATCTGATACGGGACGTGTCACAAAACAAACGACCGATGTGTCTGGAAAGGATTTCGGCCAAGAGTTCGGAGAATTCTGACATGCCATTCTCGGCAAAGTAAACAGCTATACTGATATATCAAATCTGTCATAAAAAAGGATCATACCATACAAACTATATTTTTTAAACAATATGTATAACAGTGTAGGTGGCGTCAGACATGTTCTGGCATTAGACATAGGCCTAAGCATTATGTCATTTTTTTCCGAAGACACATCTTTGTTGTGCGTTTCGACATCATTCACATTACCATTTGAGGTCGGACGCCATAACATGATGTAATTTTATCGAAGACACATAACTTAACCTCCTTCGACGTTTAATGTACAAGTACGGAACTCTATGACGTCACATTTACCGTCACCAAACTTTATACATATGTTATTTTATGCGTCGACAATAAATATATATATATATATATATATATATATATATACCTATATAAATTATGGTTCTTAATTGCATATTTTGAACATCAGGGTTAACCATACAGATCGATTAAAAACAAAACTCCTGCAGAACAGGATATCTAAAGTATATCCGAAACATATACATTTTAGACGCATTACTTCTGCGTCAATCGATGTACATTTATGTATGTCATATCACGTTGCGTCGTATGGCGTATACTATGTTCCTTTTGCGTTATTGGTGTATAGCAGACTAGTGGGTGTTTTTTTTATTTTTTTTTTTTTTTTGCATCCTGATACATTGCTGTTGCTCAGGTTCGTCCTTTGATACAACATAAGGCGCACCGCTGCTTTACTTGACTTAAATAGGTAAGTTTATCGTGACCTTACCCACTGCATGTATCGTAAGAGGCGGCTAGTGTGGGAACCCCCTGCAGGTGATTTGCTTTGTATCCCCTATTATGGGACACAAAAGCGACCAAAATAAATCTGTTGCGCCCATTGCAATGTTTGGTATCTTTCTAATTCTTTCTACTTCTAACTATATTTTATTTCCTAGCGCCTTTCTTGGCAACACCTCACTTTTGGCTTTAATGTTAAACGTTCGTCCAGGTGAGGAAGGCATAGGATTCTGTCCCCCAGGCCTTGACATACCAAAGTCCTTAGAATGGTTGTTATTATTCCCTGCTTAACGTTCTGCATTTGGGTTATGGCAACATGCGACCGGGCGGAATGCTTTGCTGGGTGCCTTCGGCATGTGGGTGTCTTCGGCATGATACTTCAGTAAGATAGCACTATAAAGTCGGCATCAGACCCGGGCTATCGCAACGAGACAAGTACCCCAACATACACTGTCTTCGGCACACATATTTGTGCGCCGAAGACAGGATATACCGACTTTATGTATACACACATGCACGCTTAACAACACACATGGAGGCACGTCCTTAAATGACCTTTGCTATTGATAGGACGTTAAACAATATGAATACCAAACAAAACCAATTAAGGTAAATACAAGGAGAAGCAATGTCAATGAATTTTGGAAAAAATGGAACAAAGAACGTGAAGGCTAATATTAAAACTGAAGAACTGCTATGAGAAAACAGGAGGTTTCCAACAAGCTCATTGGATTTTGGAATTTAGTAATATATAAATATCAATCTGTGATATCCAATTCAAAATGTTTGCAATGTCATTGAAACTGTCTTTCCTTGCGTTAAACGGAATGCCTGTATATATATATATATTAAATTACGAAATATAGATACTTGTTAAAGAAGATTTACATATCGTATGCATAGTTAGCCTTGCACAAATAAAACACAAAACGGATTATCTCAAAATATCATTCAAGTATAAAGGAATGTCTCCTTACTACAAAGTCCTTCATTGTACGCACATTTGGATAAATTTGATTAGAAAAGGAAAAAGATGATCGTCACTTTTCGACTGCTGTCAGGTTTTGATTTTATTTACAAACGACCGTACATCAGCACCGCTTAGTTTCTGCATTATCAGTCAAGGTCTTTCTCGCTTTTTATATAAACTGAATTCTTAAGTGTCTTCTATATCATTCGTTCTCGTCCTGTATAATTAATACGCCGACGAATTGTGTAGTATGTATAAAAACAAGGAACACCAGAAATACTGCGCGAGATATACAAGTCACCACCCCAGGAATTAGATCCTGCCTAGTCACATAACATAGCCGCTGGCCCCGATTACATCCTGACGAGACTTTGGAAGGAATTGGCAACAGTTCGCTCCAGCCTTCTAGGGACATTTCGAACCGCTCCGAATGTCTGTCATCTAGAAAAAAAGATGACAAGTCCATCTCCGCGAGCTACAATCCGACACAAAAGAAACACAGAACGATCTACATATCCAGGAGATATGAGGCGGTTGAAGCTGTGAAAGGGTGTATAGCATATCACAATCAACCTGGGAAATCGGAGAAACCTCTTAGTCTCTATGGACACCATTTGAGAGAGTTACAGACAAGTGCATAGTGGCGGTCACAGTTATCTTTCCTGGAGCCGAATACGTAAGCAATTGTGAAGGCAATGCATCGATATTCCCACAACGAAGACATCGCCAATGTCTAAAGACACGTCTGAGCGCCACTCTCGGCATGTAATTTTATTCCAGATCTCGTCGTCAGCCTCTGTTAGAATTTAGAGATGAGATTCTAGGACGAGAATCAATCTGTGCAAAAACCGTTTTCGTGTTCAAATATAGATTTTGTGTGCAAACTAACTTTCTTGTAACTCGTTTAATTCATGTTATACGGTCAAAACTTCAATTGTAAACATTAAAAACGATATTAACCAACAGATAATCACCAGAACAAGAAATCGTGCTTGAGCGCAGATTCTGAGTGTGGACATGATAACGGTTTCATGAATACGGGCCAAATCGTGGCAGCAAACCCTACAGTAACTATGCTGGAAAATGTTGGAGCAGACAAATGTTAAACCCAGACTGTTCATATTCGAACCCCAAATCATTCAAAGAAATTATATTTCAGTCATCACGGCATGCCCTCTGACTCCAGGATAAGAGCTCCATGTCTCAACATCAAACAAATATCATCATAGATTGGCGTGTACGTATTTGCAAAGATTCACAAATTGCGTATCTCGACGTTGTGAAATAGGCCTCTTTTTAAAAAGGTCAATGAGATAGAGTTCCGGTCAAACTTCAGGTTTAAAATGTCACCATTGGACATGTTGACGAGGAGGCTATGAAGAGTTGTTTACACTATTTTCTTTCTATCAAAATACACATGCGCTGGGTGCTTAAGGCGTATCAAGCGTTCGAATATACTGTTATTGGAGCGGTAAAATGCACGGTCAGACCGGGGTTCGAACCCGGGACCTTCCGAACTCCAGACCGACTCTCTTGGACATGTTGACGAGGAGGCTATGAAGAGTTGTTAACACTATTTTCTTTCTATCAAAATACACATGTACTGAACCCGGGACCTTCCGAAATCCAAACCGACGCTCTTCCGATCCATTTTTCAATTTTATTTTATTACTCTATGGGATGATTTGCAAGGTACATAACAAGTATTCTCGGAATTAAAATTTGGTAAGTCAGTTAAACAGTAACGTTATATGGCACCCAAAACATCATTTCATCTGAATTTATATAACTTAAAACGACTCGCCGACAGAAGTGTTTGAAAATAATACGAGAACCATATTCAACAAATTTCAATAATGTTTCAATTGGCTTCGTAAAAACTCAATGTGAAATGACAAAATGCATGATATTAGGGTAAAACACACCAATATTTTGCGTACGTCTGAGCACGGAGACGTATATTACATTCCGTGTTCTGTGGTCTCTGATTAGCCTAACATTATCCCTATTGAGGAAACCATGCAATTTGTTGGATATCTCCAAAATATTTTTTTTCGTTCTACTCTCAAACGGGAGATTCACTTGACCTGGATCTGCTGTAAATTTGAATTAAGTGATCATTCAAAAATCTTTTGATCCGTCAGTGTCTGAGGTACAATATAGCTAACAAGGGATATAGACGTTTCGGTACTCTTTGTTTGCTTTCTCTGTTCTGTGTATTGCTGATTTTGTATTTCAAGATTCTCAAGCTTCACAAAAAATACCGAAACGTCAAAGTCTAAGTACGAAACAATATTCTTTAATATTTCGCCGCCCAACTTCAGTTGTTGGAGCGAAACGAATGCGCCCCTTGAAAATTGTACATCCGGTGTGCAAACAACATGGCTGCGGTCAGAGGCAAAGTCGTGACTTTTGCTAAAAATGGACTTTTCCGCAAATTATCAAGTACGTTTTTAAGTTTTTCTTTCGGACAGAAGACCAATAGACTGATAATGTCAAATATATTCAGTTTGAAGTGTGAACAAACACCGCTATAGCTTAGATCATAAGATGACAATAATACTCTAATTAAACTTGTTTAGGTACTGGAGCACCGGCAAATCTAGCTATATAGCCAGATTTGCTGGTGCTGTTGTCAGCCTTGTTCAGGTATCGTTATATAGCCAGATTTGCTATATGTATCCTACATTGTACTGTCGCAACTTTCAACATTTTCTTTCAATACTAGGCATCCATGCTGCTAGCTGTCCAGTGCACACACTTGTCAGAAGGAGGGTGATTGAATTTTCAAGTAACTCTCCAATCACTTGCCAGACCAGGAGCATACAGTACAAAACTGTCGAGGAAAACCGGCAGAATGAAACACTATATCTAGATAACCACGGTAAGTTTAATACACAAATAACACAAGGACCGAGAGTGAATGATTGGAATGGAAAACAAAGAAAAGAATAAATATATTAAAGTTTTAATTTATAGACAATGTACATATTAAACCTGTTGCACGCCATAGCTTGACAAAGGGGTTAGTCAGTCTTGAAACGTTGCCGCAAGTTTAATATGTTGCTGTACATTGTTTGTTTATAAAGTAAAACTTTCATATTAACATATTTCAAAACTGATGAATCTTATATATTGAAAGGAAAAACATCCACAAAAATGTTCATAGATTTCCGGTTCATATTCATATTCAATTACCCCTAGCTAGCTCTTTAGTAATAGATTCAGGGGCCTTTTATGGTCAAATTGTTTATTTTTCATGTCATTAATAACAATGAAATAAAAAAATCTATTCTCTATGTTGGGGGTCCCATCAATTCAGCTTTCCTGAAAGGATGTGAACATGCTATTTGATGGTTAGATTGTATTAATTCTAAAGCCGTGGGCAACATAAAACAATCATAACTTTCCAAATGTTATTTAATACTATCACCTTGTAATGTGTGCTAACTATCAATTTTTGTAGAATAAATGGATATATGAGTTTAAACCAATTGCCCAACCACTTATACATTTATAAATGTATAAACCAATTCACCTCTTACACATGTGGATTTGTAAGTGCTGGTAAATGAGAAATCTTCAAATCTGAATGTTTGTATCACTTATGTTTGAATGCCAATGTAACCTGCATGTATATTTATATACAGTATAATCTTGATGCATCGCCACCCGTTGTACCGCCAACTTCGCATACTGCCATCAATTTCGTCAAAACTGATAGTGGAGAAGACCTACCCTTCCTTGTTTTCAATCTGTTTTAATACATGTACATGTAGATTAGTGATGGAGCCTCTGAAAAAGTGCCTCCCAGATGATAATTATAAGTTCATGAACACTTCTAATTTTTGCTGAAGTTTTACTTTTAAAAGTTTAAATTAAAGGTATGTATATGTATATACTTCTTGCTTTTTTCAGAAAGAAAACTGCAAAATGCATTAACGCACGATGATTATTTTCAAGTGAAAGACTTGGTCAAAGTTGAGGACCTCTTCGAAACTTGTGCTCATTTAGGCCACAAAACTGGAGTTCGTAATGAGTACATGTCGCCATATATTTACGGTAATAGGATAGGAGTGGATATTCTGGATCTTGGACAGACAGTCGAACACATGCAATTGGCATTAAATTTTCTAGCACATATAGCCTACAGGGGAGGTGTTATTTTGTTTATCAGCAGAAATGTGCAAAGTATACCCCTTGTTGAGAAAACAGCAGAGGAAGCCGGAGAGTACAGTCACTGTAGGTACTGGCGGGGAGGAATCTTCACCAATGCTACACAGCAGTTTGGCTCCGTCACACGGCTCCCGGACACCTGCATTTTTCTCAGTACTTTAAACAGCGTGTTTGAGCAACATACTGCCGTTGTCGAGACCGCAAAGATGCTGATTCCTACCGTAGGAATAGTGGACACCAACACTGATCCTAGGCTTATCTGTTACCCTGTTCCAGGAAACGATGACTCATTACAAGCCATTGCACTCTATTGCAGGCTTTTCAAACAGGCTATATTAAATGGCAAAGAAATGCGTAAGAAAGATGGATTAGAGTAATTCAAAGTACACGTTAATGTTTTCATATGGTTTGGACGTCCAAGAAATCATTGTATATTCAATGAAGTGCTTGATGTATATTCATTAACAACAACTATCAATATTTTAATAAATTCATCCAGGTGTCTTTGTTTTTTTACTTGTCGTTTGTATATGGGAACAGCTCCTTTGTACTTGGAAAGCTTATCTGGTATTATATAATACCTTACCTGGCCTGAAGGCCCTGCTGAGCTTATGGCATGGCATAATGTATGGTATCCCTCATAAATTTGAATTCAATAGACTTCTTGTCAAGGATTGCTGAACAGGTTTTGACTATCTGGACACACAAGATGACTGCCAGGCAGCCATCTGGGATTTTGACTGTTAAAAGTTTGTTATTGCTATTTCTCAATTAGTATATCTGACAGATCGTTCTCAAATTTCATATTAATATTTACTATGTAAAAGAAGCTTTTTGTTGATTCATTTTGCCTATTTCTTAATCAGTTTTGTGTAAGTTTGATCTGTTATCTATTGCATTGAAAGTCTTATAAGCTTGTCCACAGTAAATGCATATAGTGGTAACTTTGGATTAATACTTCAAATTAACTGGCTTCAACATTGTCCTTTCAAATGAAGATCTTGTCAAGTATATGTAGTTCTTGAGTAATAGCACGGACTTAGATAATTCCGTGGTAATAGTGATAACGAAAGGCAAGTGAGCATGTAAGCCAAGGTGCGTCATCTGTTCATTCAAAATCTACTGTTTAATTTTTTATCAATGAGAAAGAAATGACTTTATTTTCAATAAGAAAGCGAAAATTACACATAGATAAAGGCACATCGATTCCTTTCCCATTTGGTATGGTAATGCTAGAAGCAATAATGTTCAACATACATGTATATTACAGATTTTTCAGTCAAGTTTCAACTTTCCGCGTTTTGGCGTATCACACTTCTTGACATAGCAACACTGCACTTCATTTTTGCCGTTAACTTTTGCTTGTTTACACTATAACTCAAACAATTGTTCTCCAATTTTTAGGTCACCTGAGACAAAGTCTCAAGTGACCTATTGCGATCGCCTTTTGTCCGTCGTCGTCCGTCGTGCGTCCGTAAACAATTTACATTTTCGACTTCTTCTCCAAAACCCCTAAACCAATTTCAATGAAATTTTGCAGAAACCTTCCATGGCCAAAGGTCAACTAAAATTGTGAATTATATGGTCCCCAGCCCCCAGGGGCCTGAGGGGCGTGGCCAAAAAGGGTAAAATTTACTAAAATTTCAAAAATCTTCTCAAGATCCAGATATGGTAGAATCAAATACTCTTCATCACATTTTGGACCAACATTTGTTTAATTGCCATTGGAAGTAATTCAATTAAGGTTAGCATTATCAGTATTGGGTAGCAGTTTGATAGTATGCACATATCAGCCCTGACTGACCCCCCGGGGCTGATGGGTGGGGCCAAAAAGGGTCGAATTGACTGAAATTTCAAAAATCTTCTTCTCAAGACCCAGATATGGTAGAATCAAATACTCTTCATAGATGGAAGGGTCTTAAGGTGCTTTACCAAAATTGTGAATTTCATGACCCTGGGGTCTCACGTTTCCCCCTGGGGAGGGGGTAAACTTTACTATAGTTTATATAGGGAAATCACATTTTGGACCAA